GGAAAATTTAATTAGTATTCATGTTGGATATACTTTGGAAAAAAGACAAAAAAAAAAAAATTGTTGTCAGTCCGATGGCGAAGCTATCAACTGGAAGTAATCTGCCTCGCTTATTTCTTCTTTTTACTTTCGCCATGCATGAATTAAAGTTTGAACCAGAATAATTGAAAACCAATGTAGCGCTACGTAACATCTATGATTCATTGTTTGGAGATCAGTGTATTATCATACGATAATCGCCGTAATTTTATATTCATGGTAGCGACTTTAATTTCGAATTGGAGCCGCGGTTTTCGCAATTTCTACATCGGCTATTGTTCGTGATATTCTAACTCTTTGGAGTTATTGGTGAGGCTTGTTCGTTCAGTATTAAAAGGAAATCCCGTTGAAAAGTATTCTCGATACTTTTATAATGACTTTTATTCCATGTCACAATTAAGAAAGCGTGATCCTGCACGTATTTCCAGCGGTGATGTCAGTAAATCAGTTTCGCGTTTAACTCGCGGCGAGGTCGTCGGGAATTATCGTATTATCAGCCGTCCAGATGTCTGTGTATATCACTTTGCGTGATTATTAGACTGAAAAAAATTTACGCGAATCTTCGCCATATGTAAAAATGTTTCGCGAAAAAAAAGAAAAATGAATCCTTTCAACACGAAGAGAGACGAAACTTTGGAGAACTTTTTTCTCGACGAAGAATCGTCAAATTAACTGAAATTGAGAAATAATAGAATGATTATACAATAGAATAACGTCGAAAAGCTTCTCATTGAGACCTGGCACGATTATATCTATCGTTTTCGATAGTCGCCAGTAGTTTCATTCAGCTTTTTCGAGGAAAATGTTCGTAATAGAAGAGGAGCAGCAGCGTGCAAACGCGGCGCGTCATTTCGAAACGATAACGAGACCGGCGCTATCTCCCCGCGCTTCCTGTCAGCGCGCGCCGTCCCGAAACTTAAAAAAAAGAGGATAAAACGTGAAAACGAGGGCAAGACAATGACTTTCCGCGAACGCGATGACGCATCGACCGAATCGAGCTGATTTGTGTACACTGTGCTCGTTAGACGTGGAACACACTGGGCTAGATCGAAAATCGAGAGCTCGCGTATCGAGAGAAATACCGCGATAGAACATCATTGATATTTTCAAACAATATACATGTGTATTTGTTTTGTACGGTGATAATAATGATGTCTTCTTCACAGCAAGACGATTCGTTTATACGAACTTGAGGACAAGTAGTTTTATATAATTGGGATTCGTATAATTTACTATTTCTCTCGCTAGTGATTTCTCGTTGTTTCGAATAAGCGGATTCAGCCGACGAGAGTTTATTTAATCAAGTAAAATTTCCACCAAAATTTAATAAATATAATTCTGTTGTATCTCTTGGAAAGAAACGTATATACGTTCCATTATGTGACACACAGTGTCGTTCATCAGTATCGTATTTCAATAGATTTGCATGTTAATTTTGTCAAATTTTTCAACTGCGTGAATACAAAATGCCAAGAATTATTCAGTCCATGTCGAAACGAAAATTTTCTGCTCCAACGGAAATTATTATTATCGGTGGTTTAAAATTTTTAATGCACACCGTTCGACAATAATAAGTGAATTGCGCGACGTATTTGCGTGTAAAATGTAAAACTGTCCAAATTTCATGAATATGAAGCGTGTCCCGCCAGGGGCAAGAAGCATAGTTGATAACTTATCGAAGTTGATGCAACCTCAGAAGTATTAAGATGTAAGAAGATCCCCTTGAAAACACTTTTAATCTTTATACCTAAGTATGTATTTGATACATGTGCTTAGCCACGCTTTTTTCTACTCCGGCGCGAACACGCAACCAACGCGGCTTTTATTTTAATCGTCAAGTTATGTTCAATCAAATATTCCTCCTTTTATTTCGTAATTTCTGTTTTGCAAATAATTACAATTCAGAACGAATGTTTTGCGAACGAGTTGCTCCATCTCTTTTCTTACGCTTTGTCACCCTAATTATTTCCCGTAGAAAGTTTACTATCACTTATTATACAATCACGACATAGTTTATTATAATTACTGTAATTACGTTGCAATGTATATAAACAATTGTTCTCATCTTTCGTAAGTAACTTCTCCGAAATTTTCAACGACTGACTCGCCCCCGTCGGTAAAGTCGTTCGTGGATCTGTCGTGCCTGCGAGATCTAGATCTCAGTCGATACATTCATCACGCATCCGCGTATCGACTATCGAGCAAGCAGTTAATCGCGTTCGTTTTTTATTAATATCGAGTTACGTTCGAATATGATAATTCGCAAGTACAATTGGAAATGTTCTTTTATTCATCTCACCTTGTGTTCTTTACTTTTCCAGCAATATAATCACACATCATGGCCGTACAATCCTCCGCCCGTTGTTCCACTCGGACGAGGTGATATCGGCAAACCAAAAAGTAGCGATGACGATTATAACGTTTCACCACGGTGGAAAGCTTTCTACAGCGAAGGTAGCTTTGTCCCCTCGTCACGATTTCCAATTTTCGAACATCGAGGTAACACTCGACGACTGATTCTGTGCTATATTTTGCAGGCTCTGACGAAGACAGGCGGTACTTAAACAACCAAAGCCAGAATTACGATGATCGATACCCCGATGGCGACGAATATGGTCAAAGAACCGACGACTCCTATGGTAATAAGTTTAAACGATTCAGTTTTCTTAACGTAAAATCACGATTCTGACGAATTAGCAGTGCTGCCAGTCTCATTTGTAACAAGTTTGAAGACGACTTGTTTCAATCGCAATTTTCTGAACCAAAAATATTCTTTGTTTCCCTCGAGATCTAGGTTAATCTTTTGGACAGAATTACTTTCAAGGTCAAAGATTAGTGGTACCGTGTTAATTATTCAGAACCTTTAACAATTAGCTATCAAAACGATAGTAACTAAAATAAATAAATTATATTTCAATTTAATAACCGAGAAATCAGTATCAATTTCGACGAAAGTATCCAAACTGATAAATTTGACAAAAATTGATAAAGATCGTATCATATTTGTCTTAATGTTAAACAGCAATCGAAAGTTAAGCAAACCTGACTGATTTATTAGCTTCAAAATATTTCACTTTTTGCGTTAAGAAAAATGTTCTCTCAATTACCTGTGTGATATTAAAATTTGACAAATCGACGATCCTGCCTGCATCGTGGTAAAATTAATCGCGCCGCTGCTTATCATTGGGACGATTCCCATCGCGATATTCCGAGATTTACGAATTCAACATCAGCCTGCTAATTAACCGGGCCGTTTGTCTTTTGTCTTTACAGCGTTGTGTAATAGTTTCTTTCTATTAATCGATAGCGCCAGCGGTGTCGATTGCGCGCGCGCAAGCTTATGGTGTTCCCATAGAACTTACCAACAGGCTGTAATGGAAAATTGAATTTTGAAAAGCTGTAAAAACCTAACGTCCGCTCGAATTTCGTTGTGGAACAGTTTCAACGCAAGAACAAAATAAGTTGCAGGCGAAATTTCGACATTTGTCAAATTGCGAAGAATAACGAAAAATTTTGTTCTCGATATATTTTCCTCGTCTATGATTCCGTAATTATTATGATAATGGTTATATTTTTTTTCGGAAGATGAAACACGATCTCTTATCATTATAATTTTCAGTTAAAATCATTCGGTTTATTCAACGTCAACGCGACATTTGATCCTCTACTTCGTTTCATTGTTTTCTTTTTTTGCGATTATTTTCCCCCGTTTATTTAATTCAGAATCATGCTCGTAATTTCGCATATTCACTCGTAAACAACTTCTCTCTCTCTCTCTCTCTCTCTCT